TTTTATTAAATGATACTAATTTTAACATTCCAATTGAAAAATCTATTTGTCATATTAGTATTATCATTCAATTAATCATTAAATTAAAAAAATTAGAAGTTAATATCTTTAAATAGAAAATGTTAAAAGTTAATATTCTTAAATAGAAAAACTAAAAGTTAGTATTTTTATTTAAAAATTAATAAATTTTACATTTTTAAATAAAAAAAATATAAAATTAATATCTTTATTTATACATTTTCTTGATGTTCGGAAGTTTAATCATATAGTCCTCTCTTTTATAATCTAGATATTAGAGGCTTCTCTCATCAAATAATAAATGTTATACAATCTACTAGTAATTTATTAATTTGAGTAAAATAAATTCAATTTGTTTTAAATAAGGTCTCAAGTTCGAATCTTGTTAACGAAAAAATAAGTGTTAAGAGAGTTTTCCCTTTATAGGATTCAACGTCACTCAATTCTAAATTAGTTAGAATTCAATGTAATTATCAAATACTTAGATATTAATACAAAAAAAAAAAATTAAAAACTAAAAAATGTTATACAATTCAAAATTTAAAATATATAATTTTTTTTTACTGATCATATATATGTTACGATTTTTTTTTTCTTAGTAATGCTTGGTGAATTTAATGCTAATAATATCATGTCACATCCTTAACGTGTTGCGTCCTATTCTAAAACAATGGTTACCTGCAGCCACATTTTAATTTTAATTATGGCAAGACAAACACCCAAATGTCTACATCTTGATATCAATTATCAACCCCCCAACCTACTTGCTGCTTGCAGCTACAACCTTTCTCATCTAGGCCACATAATGACTCAAGGAACAAACCATATACACATGGTAGAATGTTTCGATGGATGTTTTAAAAGGGTGTTTGTTTTGATTTTTTTTTAAATACTTATTCATTATTGATTTTAATTGAACAAAATAAAATGTTAACATAAATTATAAATAATGACTATTAACAATTAAATATTAATTAGCAAATACAACTAAATAACTAATTCAAGCATTACTTTAATTGGATAAAGCAATCTCCTTGACTTATAATAGACTAAATGCATAATTATAATTGAACAAGTCTGTAAAGAGTCAAACTTACAACTTCGAGAGTATGAAAGTTCAACATCTAAATCCTTCATCAAAGCTAGACTCAATGGAAAACATGGTGTTAATCAATTAGTTTAGATTCTTAGTTGCAAAATCATTATCTTTTGTGTCGGTTAAACCCTTATATTTTGGCAATTAACTTTTGTTTTGCCAATTAAGATGAGGAATGTCTTCCACCAACACAGCAATCAGACTAAAGGTGACCTTTTGCCCATAACTGACTGCTTCCTTTGATAATTGATAGATATGGATTGAGTTAATGGACATGTTTACTTTAAGGCCTAAAATTAAAATTCTAATTAAAAGTGTAATAAATATATATATTTATAATTAATTTACAAAATAAAAATAAAAATAAATATTTGTTTTAATATTAGTGATATAGAAATATTTTTAATTAATTAAATTAAAAATAATATTTATACTTTTATAATAAATTAATAATAAAAAAATTACATTAATTATACTTTTTAAAGTATAAGTTAGAAAAATAGTAAATTAATTAAAGGAGGAGGCGGGTGGTTCCCACTAATGATTTTTTTCTTTTTTTTTGCATGCATGATTGTAAGTTTATACTATTTCTCCACATTCTCGGTCTTCAATTACTGCTTTTATAATCAAACTTTATTGTACTAATTAAAGCCACAGACATAATCATTAGGACATCTCCATGAATTATTTGGTATCATTGTCACTTGGTTTCCTCCCTTATCTTTCGTGACATGACATGCTAATGGTATCATCTAATTTAACATTTCTTTTTGATATATTTGAGTGATGAAGTTTGAACTTTGGAATTTTTTAGTTGGATTGT